GACCAAACTTGCAACCCAAGCAAATGCTTTGACTGGGAATCAAACCTGTGACTCTTCGGTGCAGGGGCCAGCACTCTAACCACTTAGCAACAACAGCCAAGGCTGTTATGTCATGCTTTTTAACCAGCTTTATCAAGGTATAATTTACACAGCGTAGAATCCTCGTTTGTGTATATAACCTTGAATGCTACCTCCAATTCCTGTGAAATGTGGGTTGAATATAGTCGCATGTGCTAAACTATGCTGAAGATCTTTAGTGACCAACATCTAGGGGCTTGTTTGTTTTTTAACTGCTTCCTCCACTCAAATATGCTTATTCATTCATTCAACACATATTCATTGAGTGCCTACTATGTGCTGGATGTTGGGGAGATAAGAGTGAACGATGCAAACAAAATAGCTACCCTCATGGAGGTTCGTTCCAGGAAGGAAATAAAATAGGTTAGTAGAGGGCCAGGTGTGGCAAGTACGGTGAAGAAGAACACAGCAGAGGGAGAGCATGGGGAGCGGCAGAGGGCTGCAGCTTCAGAAAAGGTGTCGGGGGGACCTCTTTCAGGAGGGCGCAGGGGGCGGACTGCAGGCATGTCATGTTGCGGGGGGGGCGTCCTGCCGGCAGGAGAGCGGGCTGAGGATGGGCAGGCAGAACTAGGCAGGGGTGCTGTGGACAGCAGGCCGGAGGTCCTGGCACCTCGCCCGGAACGAGAGTGGGTATTTTTGAATGTAGAGCTGACCACACGTGCTGATGTAAGAGAACTGAGGGCGGCTGTTGACATGGGGAAGTGCGCAGTGAGTCCGTGGTCCCTGCCTGTCCCTGCCTGGCCCCCTCAGTAAGCCAGTGGACACACAGCTCCCTCAGGGCACTCCTTCGCCTGCTGAGAACCGGAAATTGGTGCTGGTGAACGAGGCTGATGATGGCACTGCGGTGGGCAAACGGCCTCCCCCGACCGTGCTTGGGTCCCAAGGGCCGGTGCCTGTGCCCGACCTTGTGTGGACTCGGTGTCTTGGCAAGTGCAGGCAAGCTAAGACGAGCACACGCTGGATTAGGGTGGCCCAGGCCAGTGACTGGTGATTTTTAAGAGGCCATTTGGGCATGACACGGAGACCCAGGCAGGACCACCGTGTGGAGACAGACGGGCTGGAACGACGGAACCAGGCAAGGAGCACCCAGGTTGCTGGCCAACGTGGTGCTGGAGAGGCTGGGCAGGCTCTGCCTCTGAGCCTCTGGAAACAGCCCCGCACCCCCATCCCACACTTCTGGTCTCCAGACTGAGAGCAAATTCCTGTTGCTTCAGGCCACAGTTTCTGGTCTTTGCTGCGAAGCCACGGAAGCCAGTATAACCGCCGGCCATTAGCACTCCTCACTCCAGCGCCGCACACACCTTACCCCACCAAGTCCCCTCAGCACCACCCACAGCTGAGTGTCGTGGGCCTCCCTGCTGCACAGATGAGGAAATCAAGGCCCAGCAAGTCACATGACCTTCCAAGGTCCAGCGCTAGCACGTGGGAGAACTTGACAGGTACCAGGTCTTCTCGTCTGGAGTCCGTGCCAACCACTGGGAGCCTGGGCCGGGGCCAGGAGCCAGGATCCCTGGCTCACTCATCATCTGCTCTGCAGCCAGACGCCCTGCGCTCCCCCCTCCGTTCCCTGCGGTCGCTGGAGGCCTGCTGTCTTCACGTCTCCCCAGAAGATGCGTGGGTAGCAGGTGTGGCTTGGGTTTGATAAGAACGGCACTGTGCACATCCTTTCCTCTGGTTGGAATGCCACCGGCAGAGGAAGGACAGCGAACAAACAGCCCCCCTCCCCCCGCCCTGTTGCAATTGACTGAAGTGGAAGCTCCTGACCATTAATCCACGGCCCCTTCCACCTAAAGGAACGCATGCCGTCGGGGCCGGAGCGCCGGCTGCCTCCCGCTGTTCTCCCTGCTGATGCTCAGGGCCCAGGAGCGAGGGCAGGGCTTCTCAAGCCTCTTACTGCGAGGAACCAGGGCCATGTCCGTCCTGTCACGGGCACGCCACCGAGCTCAGCTCATCGCGACGAGCGCGTGGTGTGAGCGGGGAAAGGCAGTGACTCCCTCTGCGGCTGTGAATCAGTCCCCAGGGTCCCAGTCTGAGCAGGCGGGTGGGAGGGAAAAGGGGGCCCAGCAATAACCTGCAGGCGGCAGCCTCACAGCACAGAACTGGAACCTGGGCCGCGGGGAGTGAGAAGGGGTGTGGTTGAGCATGACTTAGGCCACAGGTGACACAGCAAGAGCCTTTCCTAGCAGACAAGTCACCTAACTCCCCTCTAAAGCAGGGGCAGGAGCGGTGCCCACGCTCCACATTCGCGGGGATTAATGGAGGTGGCGCACAGAGTGCGTAAGGCCTGGGGAGGTTATCTTCATGGCGCCAGGCTAGTCCCCTCCCCTCAGCTGTCTATCGCTGCATTAACAAGTCACCCAGAACTCAGAGGTTTAAACCAACAGCAATCATCTCTCATCTCTCGTAGCCCCTGGGGGTCAGGGAATTGGGGTGCTCGCTGATGGGTCTGGCTCGGGGGTCTGTCCTCTGTGGCCAGAGCTGGGACAGCTGGGGCTGACATATCTGGAAGAGCCACCTGGGCACCGGGCTCTGCATGGCCTCTCGCAGGGCCTTTCTGCGTGGCCTCATTCTGTGGCCTCACCAGCACAGTGACCTCAGGGCTCCAGAGGCAGGCGCCCAAGAGAAACAGACAGAAGCTGTTGCCTTGGAACCCACCTGGGGCCACGTGCACTGGTTGGGTGGGGACACATGTGTTGTTTTTATTGAGCAATATTCCTGTAGGATGGCAGCTTCTTTGAAAAAGTTGAAGGCGAATAAGAGGCATAAACTTCCAGTTATAAACTAGAGGCCTGGTGCACGACATTCATGCACTGGGGGGAGGAGGGGAAGGTTCCTCAGAGTGGGCCTAAGCCACAGTCAGACACCCTTAGTGCTACTGCAGAGGCCGGAGAGGCTCCTGCCACCGCTGCTGCTCTCCCCAGCCATCAGCCTGGCTTGTGGCTGAGCGGCCCGCCCCCTGTGGGAGCTCACTGACCACCAGGGGGCAGCTCCTGTGCTGAGCATCTGCCCCTTAGTGATCAGTGCGAGTCATAGAAACTGGTCCTTCTGCCGTTCGGTCGATTTGCATTTTACCCTTTTATTATATGGGATAATCACAGGACTCTAGAGAAAGCACAGGGAACAGCTAGTAGTCCCTAATAACTTTGTGTGCTGACCGATGGGCGCTAGACTTATGGGGGACCACTGGGTGGTACACCTGAAACTAAAGTGCTGTGGGCCAACTATACTTTAATACAAAGAGAAAAGGAAAGCTTGATTAGAATATTAAGAAAAAGGAAACGTCCCTTCTCCCGTGAATGACTGCCGAGACGCTGGTAGGAAGATAAGACAAGAGTGTTTTACTTCGGGATGCCGCCGCACCCCCCCGTGAGTGAGTCGGTTTTGATGGGACCTCAGAGTCCCTCACAGCAACCCGCTTGGCGCTTAGACTCCCAAGGAGAGGGGGCAATGGTTAGAGCGCAGGCCCCGGCCACACCAGAGCCTTCGGATGGGAGGAGGGCCGGAAGCTGTGCGGAGCTGGGCCCCGGGGATTCTGACACAGGCCAGAGGCACGGTCTCTTTGTAAAGAAAGGAACTTGAGCCAACTGGCGTGGCTCAGTGGTAGAGCATCGACCTATGAACCAGGAGGTCACTGTTTGATTTCCAGTCAGGCAGGGGCACCTGCCTGGGTTGTGGGTAAAATCCCCAGTGTGGGGCCCCCAGTGTGGGGCATGCGGGAGTCAGCCAATCAATGGTTCTTTCTCATCAATTATGTTTCTATCTCTTTTTCTCCCTTTCACACTTAAATCAATAAAAATGTAAACAAAAAAAGAAAGAAAGGAACTTGCCCTTGTGTTAAGGGGCTTCCTGAACTTTGTATTTTCATTAAGACTCTGAGCTACTCAAGCAATAACTTTGTCTTATAGGATCTCTAAGAAGCATAAACGCACTCAGACTAACTTAATTTAAATATAAGGATGGTTTTATTGGAGGGCTAGGGAGGTTTCTAATGGGACACAACCCAGCCTCCTGAGAGGCTGGGACCGGGAGCTGGGAAGCGAGGTCTTTGCTCATTCTCCACCTTCTCACACGTCTGTTTCGTTCTTCTTTGCTTGCGTGTGCGTGTGGTGAAATGAACTGCTGTCGGCAGCTCTGTGTTCGCTCAGGGCCCAGGACTGACTACTTGGAGTCTTCTAATTGCAAATTCTTAGGGAGAGAATCTGATTGGCTCAGCTTAGGTCAGCCATCTACCAATCAGCTATGGCCAGGTGGGTCCACTGCCCAATCAGAAGGTTCTTCCTTAGAGGCTTCTAGGGAATGGGACCTGCTGGTCACTGCTCCCTCTGGCACAGCCCGACCAGTGACAATGTTGATGTGTCATGAGCCACACCAGTGACTAACCTGCCTTGGCTGGGACCAGGCTCATGGACCGAGGCCCCAGGACAACAGGAGAGGCGCTGGAATACCACACCCACCGTCCTGTGATCAGGTCTGAAGTCTTTCTCCCGCTCTGGAGCACAAAGTCAGAGCATGCTGCTGCTAGTTCACTGCTGTACCCCCCGTGCTTACAGGCTCATAATGAATATTAAGTGAATAAGGGAACAAGAGCCCCATATTTAGTTTGATCAGGAATCCCCTCTTTCCACAAATATTTATCGAACATCTACTGTGTGCCAGGTACTATCCCAGCGTCTTGGTTACACCAGGGAACCAAACAGGCAAACAGACTTGCCCTCACGTGGCTGGGCGCTGACCCATATCCCGAAGGGACCGCTAGGTGCCGCTGCTCTGGAACCGTCTGTTGGTTGGGTTGAGCCACTGCAGGTGTGAGGTCTGTGGGTGTTTAGAGCCAGTGGGGGCCCGTGGACAAAGCCGGGAGATGTGACGGACGCGCTCCCCTGGCGCCCGGCCTCCACCCAGCCTGCCCTGCTGTGTCTCCCCAGGTCATGCTCTCCGAGCGGAAAGGCACGGACGAGCTCTACGCCGTGAAGATCCTGAAGAAGGACGTGGTGATCCAGGACGACGACGTGGAGTGCACCATGGTGGAGAAGCGGGTGCTGGCCCTGCCCGGGAAGCCGCCCTTCCTGACCCAGCTGCACTCCTGCTTCCAGACCATGGTAACTCGTGCGGGGCCTGGCGCTCCGCCTCCAGCGGTTCGGTGGGTTCAGGCCAAAGCTGTCCCAGGGGCACCTGGGTGCTGCCCGTGACGCCGGGGGAAGGTGGGCCCAGAGAGGCTGCTGAGAACTTCTCAGGCGGCCCTGAGACGCTCTCCCCGGAGGCAGGTGCTGCCTCAGCCAAGATGCAGGGACTCAGCCCATGGGCTTGGTGGGTTTTGTAACCTGTGCAGCCGGGCCTTTCACAGCGAGAGGCCACATGGGACAGAAGTGCAGGACTTTCGGCCTCACAATATGCCATGTAGCAGCAGGTGGGGATGCGGGCAGATGTCCAGCGTTGTGCTTAGGTGGCGGTGGGCAGCCCTCCGGGCCCTTTGCCTGGGGCTCCAGTACCTTCCCCCCGTGGCATGGACCTCCTTGGACGAGGGGTTGCCGGAGGACACAGCCCTCGGAGGACCCCTAGGTGTGAGCTCAGAGCTGTGGCTCCCCAGAGGGGACATTTGTGCTCTAGCTGCTGTAGACTGTGACTCCAACTCTGAGAGCAAGAGACATCCCTGCAAGACCGCTTCGCCTTGTCCCTGCTTAAACTAGACCTTGGCCTCCACACCTAAGGAGGGGAGGCCAGAGCCCCCGCTGCAATGATTAGTTTGAATCCTTTAATGAAAAAGCACCAGATTCCCTCATCTAGTGCCTGCTTCCCCAGGGTGCAGCTCACGTGGATAATGCTTGATTCGTTCCCGTTGTTTAACAGTTTCTATGGGTTGGTTCATTATTATGCTCCAAAGGTGACTCATGTTTGCTTTTGAAATAAAATTTTCGAGTTAGGGAGTCAGTGCAAAGAACAATACAGTGAGCAGCAATTCACTCATCTGGGGACCTGGCAAAGACGGGGCGTGAAGGCCTCAGGGAATGCACGTGTGGGCTGAAACCGGACTAGACTAGACCCTCAAGCCTCTAGTCCAGCGGTTCTCAACCTGTGGGTCGCGACCTCTTTGGGGGACAAACGACCCTTTCACAGGGGTCGCCTAAGACCATTGGAAAACACATATATAATTACAGATTGTTTTTGTGATTAATCACTATGCTTTAATGATGTTCAATTTGTAACAATGAAATTGGGGGTCACCACACCATGAGGAACTGTATTAAAGGGTCGCGGCATCAGGAAGGTTGAGAACCGCTGCTCTAGTCCCTTTTCCAGGCTTCTCTTTTTCCGTCAGTGGTCCCCAAGTTGCCTGGCGGCATCTGCGGGGGAAAGGGGCTCAGTCTGGTGAATAGACTGGACGGAGACCTTGTCTCAAGGTAGAGGCTGGGCCCGCGGAGCGGTTTTCAGTTTCAGCTGCGAGTGTTGAGACTGGGAGAAATCAGTCGTTTGTGATGGGTATTTGCTGAAGTTCAACGTCTTCATTTGTAATTGACTATTTTAAAAATGATACATTAACTTGGAAATTACTCCTGACTGTTGGGCGGCGTGTCAGTGTGCTTCCTGGGATGGGAGAGCAGGGCCCCGTGGCATAGAGGCTGCGCCCTGCCTGGGGCCCTCCCGGGAAGAGGTTTGGACCCAGAGAGAGGCCAGAGCGTGTGATGCAGCGGGTGCTCGTCTTGCATGGCCGGAGCCCACACTGGAGGCCTGGAGGCCGGGGCAGTGACCAGATCCCACCGGCGTGGAGGGAGCATGGGTCCTGCCCTCATCCCATCGCACAGGTGAGGGGGCTGAGGCCACACAGCTGGTGCTTCAGGGCCAGGATTGAACCCAGGCATCCAGGCTCCGAGGGGCTTTGCATTAACTATGCCTTTGAGTGTGAATCACAATGTCCACTCCCCTGACACCCTGGGGCGGGACACAGCACCGCCTGTGCCCGGCTGTGCGGGGCCTGTGCCCTCCGGAGCCCTGCCCCTCTCCCGCCTGCGCAGATGCTCCTGGTGCTCCATCCCTCAGAGAGGAACTGGCTTCCCGTCGGAGTGTACCATTCAAGCACTGGTTTCTTCCTGGGCTCCCCAAAGTATTGCGACAGAGGGACTGTCACCCCACGTTGCAAGGAAGGATTGATGACCTGGGGTGCTGGGTAGTTCTCCTTCAACACAGCACCGGGCACATGTCCACTGGACGGCCTGAGCTTTGCCAGTCCAGTGTGTTGAGCTGCCACCAGAATGGCCTTCATAGTGGTGACGACAAGGACAAGAGCAGAGCTGGCCCTGTGAGTGCCAGGCCGCGCCAGGCCCTGCTCAGCCCGCAGGGGTCCCCACGCTGCCCTCGGCACCTCTGGGCGGCTGCTCCTGCCCCGGGTAGGCAAGCACACTGGTGTGCAGAGGCACCCGGACTCCTGCCGTGCTCACGCAGCGTGGCCCTGGGGCGGGTTCCCAAGCCTCGCGGGCCCCCCTCAGGCACCGGCCTCCTGCCCCTGCCTCGCTCCGGATTCTCCCTCTGGTGTAGGAATTATTATCACTTTCCTGGTCACATCTAATTTTCACAAGGGGACTGTTCCCACCTGCACAGAGGACGCGGACCCTCGAGAGATGCGCCGGCTCCGGTCACCAGCGCTAAGCGGCAGTCCTCGTGCCCTGCAAGCGTCACTCCCACCGTGAGGAGACCTGCTTCTGCAGGAGGTGGCACTGCTGGAAAGATCGATCAGGGAGCAATTTAAAGTGCAAGGAGCATCTACACGAGCGAGCCGCATGGCGACTCCCTGCTGGGAAGGCCCGAGGAGGTCGCCTGCCTCCTGCTCACCCTCTGGAGCTGCACCTTCTCTGCACCCCAGCCTGGTGCCCCCGAAAGGCAGCCCGGCTGAAAGGCAGTGTCTCTGGAGCCGTGTCCCTAAGATCAGCCAGCGCTGCTGTGGACAGAGGGGTAATGCTGATGGATGCCGCCAGCGGTGTTACTGTTGGCGTAAACGGTCCAGGACGCCGCTGCGTCACTGTGAGGGGACAGCGGGAACTAGAGAGACAAGCCCTGTCCCCACAGAGAGGCCGTCAGCCACCGTGGCAGCAGCGCAGAGCAGCCGGGGCAGCGGGGTTGGGACGGGAGGTGCTGCTTTGGGTAGGAGGACAGGGAAGGCCTTCCTGCTGGAGATGGCGTTTAAGCAGCGACTCGGCGGGCGAGGGAGCGGGCGTGAGGGTGTCTGGGGCCAAGTGTCCTCCCGACAGCAGGACACTGCGGTGGTGCCCCCACAGGACGCCCGCTTGGTGCCAGAGGAGCAGCCAAGGCCACTGTGGCCGAGCGGATTGCCGGTGTGTGTTTTGTGGTCCAGAATTCCTTTATGAGTCATCTACCTTTAAAAAATGACAGATCTGGCGGAACGTTGCAAATGTGATGTTTGTCTTGCCAGAGATTTAGAATTTGAAGATAAAAGATCTTAATAGGATTTTTTTAAAGAACACACACCTTAAGGTGGTCAAGATAGATAAAAGAGAACAAAGACTCTACCAATATACAAAGCGCCTTTTGTCCTTCATAAAATGATGCAAATTTAATTCCTAAAACCTGTGTAGAAAAGCAGTTACATCAGATGTATTCTTAGACAATTGGATTTGAAACCTTTGACAAATGTGCACGACTCAACTTTAACAGAAAATGTAGGAGATACATTCTATTTCAGAGATGATTCTAAATGTGTGAAAATGGAATGTGCACATAGAAAGGGACCAGGGGGAAAAAGGGAGGAAGAAAGAAAGAAAGAAAGAAAGAAAGAGAGGGAGGGAGGGAGGGAGAGAGAGAGAGAGAGAGAGAGAGAGAGAGAGAGAGAGAGAGAGAGAGAGAGAGAGAGAGAGAGAGAGAGAGAGAGAGAGAGAAAGAAAGAAAGAGAGAAATAAACCAGGAAGAGACAGGCACAGACTAATCAAAACGTTGGTGTGAATTAGGGAGGGTCATGGGTGACCGTCTTTGCCTTGAAAAGTGTCTCAAAGCACCACACGGTGGAAGCGCGGACACCCAGACAGACGCAGGAGCCATCCGAGGGCTCGGATGCTTGGAGGTCGCTCACTGGATGAACCGGCCTCAGGTGGACGGGGCTCAGGGAGTTGTCCTCTAGCGTACACAGGGATAAGCGTGAGCACCGCCGTTGCAGAAACCCGGGCTGGGATGCCCTGCTCGCTCTGCTTGTGGGGTCACTGTCCTTAAAGGGGGCACGGGAAGCGGGAGTAAGAGAGGTGATGTGCCACGTGCAGGAGCAGCAGTGAGCGGAGGCCGCCCGCGTCCAGCTGGGCTGGGGCACCCTGCTGCGGCGACAGGAGGAGGGGATTGGGTTTTCCAGGGGCAGCTGTCAGCCGCCGCATTCACAAAATTTCCCAACTGCCAGTGGGCACAGGCAGTTAAGCCTCCTTAGCAAAACATCTATTTTAAATGTTTTCTTTTCGATGGAACATATGCACTTCTTTAAAAAAAAATAGAATTAGATTTTATGAGTCATTGAAGGATAGAAGTTACTTCCCGAATTTGCTGTCTTGGTCCAATAAGAACTCAGATGCAAGGCATGCTGGGAGGGACATCAACCCGCATGCAGTAGCAGACAGGGAGGGGGCTGAAGATGATTGACTTGTCGGGTGGGCCCCTATGACAGTCTGCTGAGCACCAGGAGTGTGCAGAAGTCCTGGCGCCTCAGGTGGGCGCTGGGCTGGCAGCAGCCTCCACGGAGGTGGTCGGGCACAGGGCGCTGCAGGAGGCAGCTCGGGCAGCAGTCTCAGCCAGGAGGGTGGGTTGCAAGAAACAGAGCACCCCTCCTCCACACTTTCTTTTTTAAAATATAATTTTATTGACTTCAGAGAGGAAGGGAGAGGGAGAGAGAGATAGAAACATCAATGATGAGAGAGAATCATTGATCAGCTGCCTCCTGCCTGTCCCACACTGGGGATCTAGCCTGCAACCCTAGCAAGTGCCATGACCGGGAATCGAACTGGAACTTCCTGGTTCATAGATCAATGCCCAACCACTGAGCCATGCTGGCCGGGCCTCCTTGTCTGTGTTTCTCCCTGGTCATGGCAACATGGCTTTCCTAGCCCCTTGCAGT